TCAAACTGCCTTAATTCATTAAGTATCGTCACTGGCGCTGCAGACACCAATCTGGTCCTTCAGACACCAAGTTACTTAAGTCTGTGTTGTTTTGGGCTCTGGCGCTTTTTTTGGGCTCTAGCACTTCAGGCGCCGCCTCTCTGTATAATGGCACTTCAGGCACCAAGTTCAGGCGCCGCCTCTCTGTATAATGGCACTTCAGGCGCCAAGTCTCTGTAAAGTGGCGCTTCAGGCGCCAGAATCACAAAATTCGCTATTTTGGCTCTAAATTTCCTCCCGCTACTTTTGCTCTTAATGGCTAAAATTGATATACCTGCAACAAAAATATGAAAATACCCTTCTTTAAAGTGCAATATCACTAAAAGTAAGCATAAAATATATACTTAAAATAACATATTATTTTGGTGTATCAGGCACTCATTCCTAAAGTTGGTTAATTACATTTCTAGGCCCTTCCACGACACATTATTGTTGGATTGTATGTCTCCAACTTTGAATTCCAAGAAAATCTTTTATATGAAATCCTCAAGCCCTTTTATTTGAAAATCTCTCCAATCTTGAATCTTTTCCATTTAAAAACACTAGCCTTGAGATCCTGCATAATATAAGCCAATATTTTTATTGAAAGTTTTTTCGAGAATTCATAACTCCTAAGATATAATTAAAAATGAGATCTTATCCTTTTAGGGATAACGAGCCCATAAGACGATAATTCCTATCTTACATCTATAGTGAAAAGGATAAAATTTTGATTAATGCCTACCATACATTTAAAAAATTTTTGCATCTAAGAGATTATATTTATTTTAAGGCAATATTTTATTATATTTTTAAACATTATATCTAATCATTTAATAAAACTCTTTCAAGATCTGTGATGTCAACATTTATAAAAAAAAATCCCCAAAAAACTTAATTCAACCTTATCAAAGAATTATATACATCATAAATCTTAAAGATTTTTCTTATATGAATAAATTGATTTATTTCAAGGTAATAATTTTACCTCTCATTGTAGTATATTATTTTATAAATATCACATTTGATCGTCTAGATAGAAATTTTCTAAGATCCATGGTGGACACGTCAACAACTTAAAAAAAAATCCCCAACAAACTTAATTCAACTTAATTAGGAAATTACATACATGTTTTGTTCAGAAATAAAATAGTACACTCTAAGGCTACATTTTGGGTAGCTTAATCATTGTGTTTGTGTTTTCAAAACAGTTCTCACGCATTTGTTTATTGCATTCTACCAACTTATCATAAAAGGTGATACAGGTTGTTTATTATACATGACCGTGGGATCAATCTTATGGCCTGCATTCTTATCTTGAATGTTCACTTGCTTGCCCTGTGTTCCCCCATTCAGCCTTAGGTGATGACTCACTCTCCTATCTCACTCGAGTGCTCATCGCTCGGTTTTCACCTCTTCCTCCTCATTTCAACCTCTGTTACTATGTGTGCTAATTTATTTCGATCGAATGACTTTCTCTATATGCAATCAATGATGATTTTTCAATGGAATGGTAATCTTTGCAACTTTCTAATGAAATGGCTTTCCTCATGTGTTTTTTTTTATTTTTTGATAATTTGGAAAATGGGTGAAAATTTTTTGATGGATTGTCTTATATTGATGTGGTTGGCTATGTGTTGTGGTTGACGACATATATAAGGTTGGTGCTCTATTTATTGTGGTTGTGATTGTGCTGAGACTGTGGATATGTGTGTTACAACGCTGCGGCTGTGTTGGACTTGTGACTGTGTTGGGGCTGTGTTGAGGCTGTGGGTGTGTGTGTTAGGTGTGTGTTGTGGTTGTGGCCGTCTTGAGACTATTTTGAAGTTGGAATGAGTCTAGAGGGAGGAAGATTCTTTTAAAGCTAACTAAAAAACATATAATATCACTAATATCAAATATTTAATTAGCGATGGAGAGAGGAGGAGATGTTAATTGCATTAGAATTTAATTATCGGCTAATTGCACAAGAATGTAGATTGTTAGAGATGTGAAAGGTGCAAGGAAAAGAAAGTATTAAGCAGCTTCTTGTTCATAAATTTTTTTATATTTTTTCTTAATCACCCCATCAATTTCAAAATTTGGTATGAAAAAGGCATTTGGGCATATTTCTGAAGATAGCCTCAAGCTGTGGGTGTGTGTTGTGTTGGGGTTGTGTTGATTGCCTTACTGTGATGTGGGTTGTGCTTAAACTTGCGTTCTTTATGTGTTCTCATTGCGTTGGGCTGTGGTTGGGTGCTCTGTATGCTGTAGTTGTAGATGTGAATGTGATGATGAAGAGGAGGGGTTGGTTGGGTTCTGTGTTGTGTCTGTAGCTATGATGGGGTTGTGTTTATTGGGTGTTTGCTGTTGAGTGTGTGTTGAGGATGTGTTGTAGCTATGTTGGGACTATGTTGTAGCTATGATAAGGATGTGAGTGTGTATGTTGCATTTATGTTGTGGCTGTGGATGTGTTGAGACTGTGGTGGGGGCCAGATTGTGACTTGGTTGGGTCTGTGTTGTGGCTGTGTTGGAAATGTGTTTGGAGTGGTTTGTGGTTGTGATGGAGCTGAAGCATAGCTATGTTGGAGTTATGATGGAGTTATGTGTGCTCTGTGTTGTCGTTTGCTATGGTGTGTGCTTTGTGTTTTGGTTATGGGTATCTCTATGACTGGTTTGTGGCTATGATGTGGGCTGGTTTCTACCTGTGACATGGGCTGCTTTATGGCTGTGATGGGGGGTGGGTTATGGCTGAAATGGGGGTTGGTTTGTGGTTGTGATAGGAAGTTATTTGCAGATGGTTGGTGGCTATCTTGGGGATTTGGGTGGTGGCTATGGTGGGGGTTTATTGGTGGTCGTATTGGGTGCTGCTTGGTGGCCATTGTGGGGTTTGATTGGTGGTTGTTTTGTGGCTACTATTTGTTTTCTATTTTATTTGAATTATTAATGTTCTACATTTTATTTCAAAGAGCAAATTACAGATGCCATTGTTGGATGTTGATTGGACGACTCTTATTTATTTTATAAAGTCTATGTTTACTTTATGTCACTTGCATTATTGATATTTTAGATATTGAAAATTTTATGCTATTTTTAAATATTTATTCTTCTTTTTTTATTCCTTTTCGTACTTTTTTGTGTGTTTGTGAGGTTCATGATGATAAATTCGACCTTGTGTGTTCTTCTAAATGGTGTAGTAGTCATTGTTGGTTGACATCACATGTGAAATTCTGATGAAGTTAACCAAATTCATCTTTTCTTTTTAATACTGAGGTTTCTGAGGTACTTTTGGATGATCAGTTTAGTAGTTGTTGGTCGGTGTTAAATGTGAAATCCTGATAAAGACAACCAAGTTCCTCTGTTCTTTTCGATGCTCGAGTTTTTGAGGTACTTTTGGATGTTTTTTTTGGTGACACACACAAGCTTGGTATATAGTGAGCGAAAGGTCAGTAAGAATCCCCGTATTACAAGGTCTGTTATCTTTATGTTTAAATATGTTTGATGGGGTTGGTGCACTTAGTTTTCTGATACCTCACACCCGCACAAAACCATAATTGATTATTTCTTTTTTCAATTTATAAAGTGCATGTTTATTTTATGTTCCATTAATTATTTTTTTTAGATATATGAAGTTTTATGCTATTTTTATATGTTTTTTTCCTTTTTGATTCCTTTTTATTTTTTTATGGGTTTGTGAGGTCCATGATGAGATGTTCATCCTTATGAGTTCTCCTGGATTTCTTGTTAGTATCTATTGGTTGGCGTCACATGTGAAATCCCAATAAAGGCAACCAAGTTCCTCACTTATTTTCTATGTCGTGGTTTTTTAGGTACTTTTGGATGGATATTGTTTGAAGATATGCATATGTGACACACACGAACTTGGTATTAAGTAAGCTAAAGGCAACAAAGAGTCCCTTTTTACAAGATCTACTATCTTCTTGTAGTGACAGATTTGTTGGTTGGTATATTGAGTTCTCTGAGACCTCACGCCTACAAAAAAATATAATTAATTACTTATATTAGCAATTTCAACGTTTGTTATCACCAATTGATTGTCTTTTAAATTATTCATGAAAAATGAGTTCCAGGATTTCAGGGACCTCCCAACGAGTGATCTATCACTGTGGACTATAGACTTCCCTACTATCGTCACGTCGAGCACATAGCTGCAGAATACAGTTTTGCAGGTGCTAGCAGAATAACACAGAGAAGTGTGACTTCTTCCGGTGGGCAGACTTTCTGGTTGGATGGTATTCTTGGAGGACGATGTAGCACAATAAATACATCGTCTGAATTTTAAATTTAATATTATCTTATAGCTAATTGTAATTTTAATGGTTTTTTCTTTTTCTTAGCAAGCTTAATACTCACTGTTAAGTGAAATGTGCGATACGAGATGTTAACCCCAACTTGGTTTATTGTTTTAGGT